GCAGTCTCTGCTGAAAATGTATTTACTAAACAGAGTTATAGTGATGACTTGTGTTTAATACGGCTTAATAGTGAATTGTTGATTTCATATTTGACATTTTTGGAAGTCAAGACTCACTTTAGTGAAACACCTTTTGTCTAAAATGTATAGCAATGTTCGTCATCATACCAGTCTACATTAGTATCTTAGACAGACATGTTGGGCATATAAACCATGTGGAACAGGAAACCAAAAGGAATGTCAGACTGTTGAAACCAGTATTCATAGCTGAGAACCAATTGGCCAGTGTGGCACGGGGCAGCCTGTTTCAGAGATCACAAAGTTAGACCAAAGTCACAAGCAGGGATAGTCCCTGGCATCAGCAGCTAGAATTGTCAGTCAATATCCAGGCACAAGGGGCTGGTGCTCAAGGGGCTCTTTTGTGAGCTGCACTTTTCAACACCTGAAAGGCAAATGAGAAAGCAGCAGCTCTTCCTTATAAACTTAATTATGTATATTCAGTTGATGCAGGCCATTTTAGAAGTGCTCAACTCTTCAGTTATATTTAGCAGAAAACAGGAGGTTCCAAATTCGATGTGAGTGAAGTTTACTTCTCTCACCACCTTGACATCAGGTGCTGATGAAATAAAGTCTCACCATTCTGAGTCACAGTTCTGAGTGCAGACATTTGTTATCATTGATTACAAGCTGAGGCCACGCCAGTTAGTGCCACCTATTTTTTTTTAAATAAATCTTATTGTGTATATTTGAGGTTTATAACATGATGCTATGGAATAAAAATAGATAGTGAAATGGCTACTGTAGTGAAGCAAATCAACACATCCATCCTCTCACATTGCTACTTTCTCGTGACAAGAGCAGCTAAAGTCTACTGAACAGAATTCCCTAACACAATTTTATTAACTGTAGTCCTTATGTTGTACACTGTATCTCTAGACTTGTCCATCCTACATGTCTTCTACCTTGCATGCCACCTACTCTAAGAGTCAGGAGGTTTTGGTCTTGTCTTTAGGTGATTCACCCACTCGTTACATAACAGGTTGGTTTACTTGAGGCAGACACACTGATTTCCTAAAAGCACAATTCTTTTACTCTGGGAGTTGACAGCAGAGAGGCAGAAGTTTTCTGACCTTTCAACAGGATACAGGTCATAAGGACACAGGCCACAGGCTTTATCAGGTTCTTATTCTAGTGTGAAGAATGTCTTGAAACCATTTCCTTGGCTGATCTGTATATCTAGTATGCCATTAATTTAATCAGTGAGAGCCTATTTCTAACATTTGTGATAATTTCTTAAGCCTCTAGTGTAAGAAGACTTGTGTTAGCCTCTGGAGTGCAGACCTCCCAACTAACTATTGCCTAGCTAGCTAACCAACCCGAGGGCAGGAATTTCTGCTTCAGACAACAGATAATACCTAAGGCTGTACTTAAACCAACACATGCTGTTTATGTTGAGGTATTTTATTTTTTTGTAAGACAGTTTTGTTGGGATGAAATTTACTTTCCTTTAACATAAAATTTATCTGTTTTAAGCATGCAATTTAAAAATTTTAGAAAAATTATAGGGTTGTGCAACCATCACAGCAATCCAATTTTATAATATTTACTCCACCCAGAAAGATTCCTCTTGCCCATTTTCAGGCAATTTCCATTTCCATCTCTAGTTCCAGGCAACCACTAATCTTTTATCTGTTTCTATAGGTTTGCATTTTCCGAATATTTAATGTAAATAGAATTATGTAATGTGTGGATTTTGTAAATGGTTGCTGAATAGAATTTCATTGCCCAAACAGTCTGCATTTTGTTGTTCATTCACTGGATTGTGGACATTTGGGTTGTTTTTTGACTACCATGAATAATGCTGCTATGAACATTTGTATATAGGTCTTTGAATGAACATACGCTTTCATGCATTTAGGGTAGATACCTAGGAGTTGGACCTTATGCTAAAGTGAGGTTTAAGCATTTTCAAAAACTACCAACCTGTTTTCCTAAATGACTGCACCATTTTTACATTCCATCAACAATGTAGAAGGTTCCAGTTTCCCCACATCTTCCCTAGCCTTTGTTACTGTAAAAGTAGATTAAATATGGCCTGAGAAGGACTCCATGCTTCTGTATTTGAGTCCTGTGGATGAACTGCAGTGTAACTTAATAGGTAGACAAGACTAAAAACCTAACTTAGGAGTTAGAAGCCTGTAACAATAGCTGAGTCTTGGCCAATTTCGGTGGCCGTCCTTTAACCATTCATGCCCTGCTGAGTGTTCAAACTGTGTTCAAATAAGGCACATGCCAACCTGTTACCAAACCAGCTGTTCTGTACCTCACTTCCAATTTCTGTACTTCATTTCCTTTTTTTTGGCTGTAAATCTTCTTCCACCACTTGACTATGCTGGAGTTTCTTTCAATCTGCTGTGATTCTGGAAGTTTCCTGATTTGCGAATTATTCATTGCTCAATTAAACTCCTTTAAATTTAATTTTGCTGAAGTTTTTCTTTTAATATTATTATTTGTGTTTTTTTATTATAGCCATCCTAGTGAGTGTGAAGTACTATCTCATTGTGATTTTATGTTTTAAAAATTTCTTTTAAATTTAAGATTCAGGGGGTACCTGTGCAGGTTTGTTACAGGGATACATTGTGCGATGCTGAGATTTGGGCTGCTGTTGATCTCATTACCCAAATGGTGAACATAGTATTCCAATAGGAATTTTTTCAGCCCCTGCCCCTCCTCTTCCCTCCCCACTCTAGGAGTCCCCAGTATCTGTTGTGCCAACGATTATGTCCATGTGAGCCCAAGATTTAGCTCGCACTTATGAGAACATGCAGTATTTGGTTTCCTGTTTCTGCATTAATTCGCTTAGAATAACAGCCTCCAGCTGCACCATGTTGTTGCCAAGGACATTATTTCATTCTTTCTTATGGCTGTACAGTATTCCATGGTGTATATGTACCACATTTTCTTTATCCAGTCCACCACTTATGGGCACTTGGGCTAATTCCATGTCTTAGTTATTGTGAATAGTGCTCCAATAAACATACAGGTGCAGGTGTCTGTGTGGTAGAACGATTTATTTTCCTTTGAGTATACACCCAGTAATGGGATTGCTGGGTTAAATGGTAGTTCTATTTTTAGTTCTTTGACAATCCCTAAGCTGCTTTCCTTGGGGCTGAATTAATTTGCATTACCACCAACAGTGTAACTGTCCCCTTTTTCTCTGCAACCTCACCAAAATCTGTTATTTTTGACTTTTTAATAGCCATTCTGACTGTTGTGAGATGGTATCTCATTGTGATTTTGATTATCATGTCTCTGATGATTAGGGATGTTGAGCACTTTGTCATATATTTGTTGGCTGTGTGTATGTCTTCTTCTGAGAAGTGTCTGTTCATGTCTTTTACCCACTTTTAAATGGGGTTGTTTGTTTTTGTTTCTTGCTAATTTGTTTGAGTATCTTATAGATTCTGGTATGCTGAAGTATTTTAAAGAAAACACACATATCATAACAACGCCCACTCGTTGGATTATATGCAGCTGCATTTTCTACTAAACATGAGTTCTCCTGGAGCAGGCAAGCACATTTCAGAACAAAACACTTGAGGGAATGATATTACATTAATCTCTCACACTGGAACTTTGTTTCAGCTATGAACTAAGGGAGAACATAAATTTTGTTGTGGCACTTCATTCTTTTTCTATTTCTGATATATACTTGGCAAAAACTCTGTGCATTCCTGATCTATAAGGTGCCTCGATTCATTGGAAGTTCTTCATCTTTTCTCAGTGGCATTAGCAGAAAATCGATGTCTCACACATGGCATTAGTTGGAGCATAATACCATCTCTCAAGCAGAGGCATACTCTTTATTTCATTACTGTACTCCCAGGTTGACTAAGGGAAGAAACTTGTCTCTCTCTTTCTCTTCCTCTCTCTTCCCTTCTTTGTCCCCACTTCTTGCTTCTCTCTTCTATATCCTTCATTGCTATAAAGTTTTTCTTCTAATTAGAATAATTGATGGCTTGGTTCTTTGTAAAAACAAGACTGAGCTATTTTTACAAAGAAAACTGGTTAAATTTCCATGATTCCATGCCCTAAGAAAGGTCTTCCAAGTATAGCAGCAGCTTCTGTTGTTTCTGCTTTTAAATGTTCTGAATCTACAGGCTACCCCTTGGCTAATAACATGGAATCTAGGTTAGCACCAGCCCTCTGCTGAGTGTCCCAGAGACCTTTCTTTTTTTTTTTTTTTTTTTTGAGATGGAGTCTCATTCTGTCACCAGGCTGGAGTGCAGTGGCACCATCTCTGCTCACTGTAACCTACGCCTCCCAGGTTCAAGTGATCCTCCTGTCTCAGCCTCCTGAGTAGCTGGGACTACAGACATGCGCCACCATACCCAGCTAATTGGTTTTATATTTTTAGTAGAGATGGGGTTTCACCATGCTGGTCAGGATGGTCTCAATCTTCTGACCTTGTGAGCTGCCTGCCTCAGCCTCCCAAAGGGTTAGAATTACAGATGTGAGCCACTATGCCCAGCCTATCCCAGACCCTTTTTGTTGTGCCTGTTTCCTTCCACCAGGTGTTATAGATCATTAGTTCCCACAGGCAGGCACTTAAACACTCAGGTTGCCTTTGGTCATTTATTTAGCCTTTCACTCATTTGTTAAATATTTACTGATCATATCTCCTCAAGAGGAAGAGAATACACATATAAATGAGGGAAATACATCATCTAACCACAAGGAGAGAATTAATAAGGGCTTTTTAAGAGTAGTGCTTGAATATTTCTCTGGGGCTCTTTCACCTACAAAATTGAGCATCTAGGGAACGGCAGGCATGCCAATTCCCCGTCAAAAAGCCATGGGTTAAGACAGTAAACCTAGGGCCTAGAAGTAACCTTGGCCTTTTTTCCTCCTCCCTCCCTCCCTTCTTCTCTTCCTCTTTCTCTTCCTTCCTCCCTTCCACCCACCCTTCTTTGCTTTCTTTTTAAAAAATCTGGTTTTAGAACTGGACTGAGAACTCAGTTAAATGAAGCAAGCAAGCATTTCCCAAGTGATGCCAACTCAAAATGAATTATATCAAGAAAGGAAAAGCAGCCTTCTCATCTGGAAAGAACTGGAGACCTTGAACCTAGGCAGCACATGCCTTGAACCTAGGATCAGTAAACAACAGGGATGGAAAAGACAGTAAGAATTTGGTCAGATCACCATATCTTTCCATTGTGCCTTTAGAACAAAAGGAAAGAAAACATTTCTTTGGCTCACAGAGAAACTATATTGAGTAATGAAGTTCAGACTCTCACAGTGCTGGGCACAGAGCAGGTGTTCAGTAAATAAATAGTGTCCTTGTTTGCTGAGTAATGTTTGACATGAATTGCTCTAACGCACTTTGTGTGATCCAGTGGTATTTAGGGACCTCCCAGGCACAGCCCTGTACCAGCTTTCTCAGAGTAGTGTCTCCACATAGGCAAGCCTTTTAATCCCCCATAAAACAAAAAGATGACCGTAAATATTTAGTATCTTAAAAATTTAAGTAAATATGCGATGTCCTACTTCTCACCCACATCTGCAAATGATCTTAGTTTGTTCCTTGGAAATGAACCAAATGCTTTAGTGAATGGTAGCACATTTTCTCTCTGTTTGCTTGGATAGACCTGTCCTAACTTAAAAATAAATGTTTAGTTAAGATGATCTTCAGCTTAACCTTTCTGAAGGCACAGGAAGCTGGATCTGTAGCTGTCCCTGGCTATAGTTGGAGTATCCTGATGTAGGTGAAGCAGTGTTCCTAACGGGAAGTCCTTCCTTGTTCATCAACTGTGCTCATGTCCTTTAGCATTTACCCAAGTATTCAGAAGTTGAAATCTGTGGGGTAATAGGTACATTGAATAATAGGGATTTGATTTAATTTTTCTCTTAAACTAACATAACACATTGAGGTGCTCGTAACTGACGAGTGAGTTTGGTTCCGCATTCAGCACTATGGCTAATCATAACAATTTGTAAAAAGCATGTAGGGGTATTCCCTGGGATAGACCGATGGCTGTGCTTATAAAATGTGGCTGTTCCCTTTCATTTTCCTGGAGTAATCTAGCTCAAAAGCTTTCAGGTTGTGGATAGGTAAATTGATTTATCAAGAACCAGTGAAAGGTTTAAATACCATGATATTGGTATTTAAATCTCATCTCTTATTTAATATGTAAACTTAGGCAAATATCTTCCCTTCCTTTAGAATTAATTTCTTAATCTTGTAACACTGTGACATTGTGGCCTGAGTGAGATTTTCCCTGGTGTCCCTGGATAGTCAGTAAGGCTAAAAGTAGAGAATATCCCCCAAATACCAAGCCCTAAGAACTGCAGCTACTGGGACCCACTATCTCCTTGTAGGGTCTTCTGAGAAGGATTATTCCAACAGGCTTGAACCCACCACTTCACTGTTTTTGGCCCCTGCTAACCTTAGCAAGCTGAGAAGAGAGCGATTTGGGGAAGAAAAGTATTCATTTCCTCTCTTCATCTCCTGTTAGAGGCAAGAGAAGAAAGTCCAAGAGAATCATTCATAAATGTGGGGGTGGCCAAAAAGGGCAGGCAGACACTCCACGGTTGAGTGCCTGCTTAGTTAGCAAAGCTTGTGGCCTGCCTTTGAGCTGCTAGGTGTGTGTGTGTGTGTGTGTTCACACATAAGCACATATGTGTGAACTGGAGCTTTAAAAAATTAGGCCAGGTGCGGTGGCTCATGTCTGTAATCCCAGCACTTTGAGAGGCCGAGGTGGATGGATCACGAGGTCAGGAGTTTGAGACCAGCCTGGTCAACATGGTGGAACTGTGTGTTTCTACTAAAGATAGAAAAAATTAGCTGAGCATGGTGTCATGTGCCTATAATCCCAGCTACTCAAAAGGCTGAAGCAGGAGAATCACTTGAACTTGGGAGGCAGAGATTGCAGTGAACTGAGATCGTGCCATTGCACTCCAGGCTGGGCGACAGGGTGGGACTCTGTCTCAAAAAAAAAAAAAAAATTAATGTCAGCTATGTATAGGATAACTTGAAATCAGGAGAGATGGGGTAACATCAAGGTGGTGAGGAAATACAGGGTCACCAACATGCATGTTGGAAAAAGGACTATCAGGTGGAGAGGTCACCAGGATTTCTCACCACCCCTTCCTGCCCTCATTGACTTGATCCCCTTTTCAAGAGATACTGACATAGCTCTTTGTTGCAGACCTAGGACCTGGCCACAGGGTATAGATGAGGTTGGGGTGTTGGATAATTAAATGGGGGCCATTAGACTGAGGTGACTTATTGCCCTGGGTTTCTGTGTAAGCAAATGTAAACTTAACTCAGAATTTAAAAGAAAATAAAACTTAAGTCCAGCCAATCATAGGCAGCCAAATGAGCATTAGCTGTATTGTCTTGAACTTCCCACAGGGATAGTTCAAATAAGGCAATTGCTCAAACTTCAACCAATCAAACAATTTCTTTGCTTCACCTCATAAAAATGTCCCCTCAGCTTCTGATTTGGAGCTGCCTGATTCATGAATTCCCATCTGCTCAAATCAACTCTTGAAAATTTTAGAGGTTATTTTTTAACAGGGGCAATTATCTCTAGTTCAATTCCCCGGTGAGGGACAAAGGAATGTGGTGCAATAATGTCAGCTGGGGTGAGACAGAGATGTGGCCAGATTTCTCAAGGAGCTTCCAGTGTCAAGAGTTGCTTCATGGAGGGAGCATGCTGGAGAAAGTGAAGCATGGTGGAGACACAGATAAGCAGAAGGGCAGTGCAGGACTCACTTCCTGCCCCAGCACTAAGGAGTAGCTCAGGGAAGAGGGAGGAAAGGGGAAAGCATGTGATAAAGACCACACCCCTGGCTAGGTGAAGGGAAAGGAAGTTTTGAATGAGGTATAACATGAGATCTTAATGAAACAAAGAGACTAAGAAAACATGGAATAGGGCTCAGGCGGTGTTAGGGAGGATTTGATCTGGAATAGTCAGGGACAGTTATTGGAAGAAAACGAAATTTGTATTTATAGCTGAATGAATTGAGACTCTTCAATACCACCTCCCTTGTTATAGTCTACAGTTCTTCCTGCCATATGGTGCTACCCACTAACATTCTCTAAACATCTTCCCTCTCATAACCTCATCCTGTTCATAGCTTCTTAAATATTTGATTTGAGCACGATCCCATATCTCAACTTTGCAAACACTTGGGATTTGTGTCAAAACTTGCCTTTTCCCAGAATTCTTTCTTAATAATTCCAGGCCCCACATTCCTCCCTATCTTTCCCTGATGGCCCTCCGCTGTTTCAGCATTTTCTAAAATCCATCCTTGCTTTTCATTCCAATCTGCCACACCCTAGTTCAGGACCCCTAACTAATCTTCCCTCCTCATGGCTGCCAAACACTGCCTGAGGACAACTGGCTGAGGCCCTGCTGAATTTGGCAAGCCATCTGCTCCGAAACGGCGTCAGCCCAGAGGGACACCATTTTCTCAATTGCTCAAGGGCTCTCTTAGTTCACCAGGTGTGCATGGGGTCCTGTAGGCTCTGAGGGAGTGTTTTTCCCTAAGTGGCATGGAAGTGACCCTATATTTCCTAACCACCTCGATCCCACCCCAGTCTCTTCCAATTTCAAGTTGTCCTATGCATAGCTGAAATTATTTTTTTTTTTAAAACTCAAGCAATCTCCTTTTCTACATAAAAGCCACCCTCTAAGCCATCATCAATATCATGTGTATTGGGTATTGTCAAAGGTCTAAGATGAAACAGCCTAGATGCGGAGCATGAAGAGAAATAAAAAGCTTCCAACATCACGAATCTCAAACCTTCATGTGTACACAAATCACTACTGGATCTCATTAAAATGCAGATTCTGATTCAGAAAGCCTGGGTGAGGCCTGAGATTCTGAATTCTAGCAAGTGCCCAGGTGATGCTGATGATGTTAGTCCAAGGACAAGAGTGTAAGTAGCGGTAAATAACATTGAATACACTGTGAGCAGCATTTAATTTTCACAAAGATCCCCATGGGGTTAATATTATTATTACAATTTTTTAGAGACAAGTTCTCACTCTCGCACCCAGGCTGGAGTACAATGGTATGATCCTGGGCTCAAGATATCTGCCCTCCTGAGTAGTTAAAACTGTAAGTGTGTGCCATCATGCCACCATGTCTGGCTAATTTTTCATTTTTATTTTTTTGTAGAGATGGGTTTTTCCTGTATTGTCCAGGCTGGTCTTGAACTCCTGGGCTCAAGTGATCCTTCTGCCTTGGCCTCTCAAACTGCTGGGATTAAGGGAATGGGGATTTAAATTCACGTCTGCCTGATTCAAGACTCCTTTTTAACCACTGTGGTATATTCCCTCTAAAAGGACTGGAGAGGAGAAAATGAACTTGAGAAAGGAATTTCACTCAGGAAGTAAAACAGGCAAACTTGGGGATGGTTGGCCTTGATCTTCTCAGTGGAGTTGGTGAGAAGGTCACTTAGCTCTGGTGATGGGAATGAAAAGCCTAAGTAATCTGGGGGAGGTGAGGGCAGCTGCAGATGACCATGTGCTGAGGGAGGAGCAAAAAGAGCCGCCAGCATAAGGGAGCGCCAAGATGGAGCTGGGTGGATTGAACTTGCCAAAGCCCTAAATCATTGGTTTCCAAACTTCACATTAGAATCACTTGGGGATCTTTTAAAAGTTCAGGTTATTCCCCAGGCCAATTAAGTCACAATCTCAGGCTGGGACACAAACATCAATAATTTTTGAAGCTACCCAGTAATTCCAAAGTACCGATTATTTTGGGAACCAGTGCTGCAGATGATTTGCTTATAGTGCTAAAAGGGCAAATCTTGCATTACTTCAAATAACACAAGGAGCATTGAATAATTGTTTTGGTATTTTGCATAGTTCAGAGTTTGGCAGATTTTTTCTGTATAAAGGCAATTATTAAAAAAAAAAAAAAATTAAGCTTTGTGGGCCAAGAGGCAAAATTGAGAGTATCATATTAGTACTAACATAACAGGAGAAAAAAAACAGATTTCCACAAATTTTTTATTGATGAAATGTAAAACTTTCTGAATACTGAACTGGGAATTTTATATAATTTTATGTGTTATAAAATTATAGAATTCTGTTGATTTTTACAGTCATTTAAAAATGTAAAAATCATTCTCAGCTTGCAGGCTGTACAAAAACAGGCAGTGGCTGGATTTAGCCCCCCTATGTTGAAATTTGCTGACTCCTAGTGGAGTTAATGACATACCTTGTGATGAATCCAAAGAAGCCATCAAAAATATTCATCTTCATAAAAACAAATCAGTATTCAAATGAATGCTACACTTGACCTACAACAAAACTGGCCTTTGAAAAAAATCATTGCAT